GCAATTTGATGGATGGAATTGATTAATGCTGATTTACCAACATTGGGTACCCCAACTACCATGACAAGAAGAGTAGGCTCTCTTGAAATCACCTCTTTCAATTTAAACTCCACAAGATCCAGCAGCTTCAATACATGAATGGTTATTATTGGTCTAAGTAAGACCTTATCTTAGAAAGATAGAAGTGTACATGATAATCTACTATAGAAATCAGAAAGGCACACGCAGAAGATTGACTAACCTTTTGTACAGAACTTCTACTGTGTGCATTAATGGGAAGGCACTCTTGTTTACAGGAATTAAAGTAGTTCACCCATTTCTGATTGCAACCAAGTCGATCGTAAAGTTAGCAACGAATGCAAATCATTAAAAACCATAGATATTGCCTCAGCTATGTGGATTGTGGAACAACCATGTTCACGGGATAATCCATATTAGTGTTGCTTAAATCAAAGTCCTACTATAAAGCCGGTGTAATCTACTACATGACTCACAGAAATGATATCAAGATGTGCAATTTGAACCTTTGCCGTTATGTACAAGGCAAAAGAAAATGATCAAAGTATACCACTGACCAGCAATAGCAGTAAACTTAATGCACAAACGAACTTCAGTAGGATTGGTACATAACATGAGGACACTGACAAGATGGACAAGTTGATTCACAACAAGATCAGAGTGAATTGGTTAAGGCTCTGTGGAAAGGTGTTACCCCTCCTTGGGCTCTCCCCCTCCATTTCCAAATTAAAAAAAGCTTGATAACAGGAGATTAAGCTACCATATGAGGTCCTTACAATATGAAGTCATGACATGCCAGAGGGAAAATACTCAAAAAAAAATAGAGATTCAAATTTATTAGAATTCAGTACTTACATACTGTACTAAATAGAGAAGAAACATTTAAGTAGTATTGTATATATGTACTCCATGCCCCTTTGGGGACATCCAATAAAATTGGAACAATATATGTGTACTCCATCAAAGTATGAGAGGATATTGGAAAAATTACACGAATGATGTTGGTGTTGGCCAAATCTTTCTTGTTGAGAGCAATAACTCTCCTTTTCCCGGAAAGGATGGGTTGCAAGTCTTCGTTTACAGACGAAGAAGGTATCTGCACAAGTTTTTCTACACATATTGATCCGAAAAATACAATTTGAGAATTCGAAGGGAAATAAAAATGAAGAAGGTTTGGAAGAGATTACTGGACATACGCGGGCATCGCGAACTTCTATGACGAGGTCGGAAAGCTTGAGGCGCTGGCGGATGGCCCTGGTGGCGGCGGCCATGTGGCCAGGGAACCAATTGACGACGCCGCCCCCCTTGTTGAACCCTAGCTCTCCTAAACATCCTTTCTTCTTCGCTAAGCTCCTTCCTGCCATCTCTCAATCACTATCTCACGCTCTCAGTAGTATGAGTGGTGCTTTTCCTGTTTGCTATCTCTGGATGCCTACTTGTACCCCATTTGTCCTTCACCTCTTTCTTTAAAAAAATTAGAGTTTTTCGAATTCGAATACGAATTCAAATATGTCAAATATTTATCGAATCGAATATGAATGTTTTTTAAAATTCGAATTAAAAACGAACCCGAATTCGAATACATATCACTTTAATCGAATACGAATCGAATAGTGATATATTTGCTTCGATTCGATTCGTATACACCCCTAGCTAGAGGTACACCTTACACCAAAGGTGTACCCCATTTGTCCTCCACCTCTTTCTTCACCACTCATTTTTACCTCATTTTTATTTATTTAATTTTTTTTAGTATCTTGCACATTTTTATGGTAATGGAGGGGGTGGGGACAAATGGGTACACCATTTGGTGTACCCCTAGCATTTTTCTTTATTATTTTTGTCTCAAAACATTCTTCCTTTTTTTGAAGATTCAAAACATTCTTCCTACTCACGTAATGAAACTTTAATCTCGTTCTGTATTTATTTTCGCTAATTATTTGAACCTCTTTTTTATACGCAATTTATATTATACAGTCGGCGGCTGTACGGGAAGAACCGTATAACCGGCGTTTAATTTGGACAAAAGGAAGAAAACATATGTGATGGAAACGAGTGACTATGAAATCGATCGGCCATGAAGGGGATCTCGACGATGAAGGCTGCTTGAATTTCAAGTGGCGATGAAGGCGGCTATTTGTAGCAGGCGCTGGACTAGCTTCTATAGGCGATGAAGATACTCTAATTCAGATCTGATGGGTCTTAAAAGAAGGCGAAGCTCTAATTCCTATTGCCTATGAATCTGTTCTAATTCCGATTTGGTTTTCGGGGTAGAAGAAAAAAAGATTTCAGCGGTATGTTGTTAAAGAATGAGTAATGGCCTCTTTGATAATGAGTACTACTAGGTTTTAGAATGAATATTACGTTATTCATAAATCAATATTATAATTGTATTAAATAAATTTGTAAAATTGAACACAACGTTATTTTACAATGAGTCTTACATTACTTCAGAATGAGTACTAGATTATTCCAAAATGATTATTTATGTTTTGTGTGATAATGAGTACTACTTTACTTCAAAAGGAATACTACCAAAACGAGTACTACATGGTTGTATCTTACTTCTGGTACAACCGACTTTACCATATACCTACTTTTTTTTTATAAAACTTTTGATTTAGTTTTTAAATATATAAATTTTATTTTTTAATTTTGCACTTCTAATTAAATAAATTGAATTAAAAATAAAGTCGATCAAATCCCATAAACAGAAACTAGAATTACATTTTAGGAAGAAGGGAGTACAAAAATATTGAAAATATACCAAAATCAGAGTTTTATGCTACGGAGTATTATTTTTGAAATAGAAGTTAAAATGCATTTACATTACCAATCATGACCATGTACATTACCAAGAAATATAATAAAATACAAATATACATTACCAAACATGGAATTTCTATGATTGTACTTTCTCTATGTTTTACTCTTATTTAGGGTAATTTTATTTAAAATTTTAGGCCACCTTTTACATCAGTTATTATTAATAAGTGATGCATTTGATCAATTGCATCGATTGTTAATAATAACTAATATAGAAGTTAAAAGTATTTAAATCGGTTATTACATTCAACAGAGAGACAGAGAGACTTCGGTAACAAGAAGACACCCATCGCACATTGAAGCATCACTTGATCGACTGTGTTGAGAAGAACTTCTTTATTAATTTAGTTTTAGCATTCCTCGATAATTCTTTTTAAAACTTATTCCGTCTCAAAGAGATTGTTGACACATTACACAAAAGGAAGTAGTAACTTCAAAGTTTTTTTTCAATTCAAAACTAAACATTATCATCAAATAGTTCTTTAAAAATGTTACAACAAAATGGTAAAGTTGTTGTCAAATGGACCCTAAAAGTGTTGGATTTGGAGGTAAACCATTCGATATCTGTGTCGAATGGACCCTAAAGTTTTTTTCCGTCAGTCATAAGTCATTCATTTTGATCGGTCAAGGGGCACCCCTTTGGGGGGGGGGGGGGGGGTGTTGGATCCCTACCCGTGCCAGTAGCTTGAAGATTATTTAAAACTATATTTAGATTATTATCAAACAATATAAAAATCAAACTAGGGCGATAATTTTGGAATGGAAAGAGTATATATATTTCACAATGATTGATAACACTCCATATTAAAGTAGTTCAACATGTTCTGTACAAAAAATACATTCACAGTTTAGATAGGATATAATAGTAGAACAAAGAGACTAGAAGAAAGAGTTTATTTCAAACGTTACTATCAAAAAATTGTATAACTAATACTTCCACAATCCCAATTTATAATGCATGTTCACTATTCACAGGGTCAAAATTCATTCACTTTTTTTTCTATTTTCGTTAGCAATTTGATAAAATAAAATATTATTGCCACTACGAGTTTTGTAGATCTTTTGATGTAGTATTTTAATATGTAATTTTATTTTTTAACTATATACCATTTGTCATATAAAATGATTTGAAAATAATTTCGGTCAAACATCGTAAACCGAAACAGACACTATAAATTGGGACGGAGGGAATAACAAAGAATGATATACGCAAACTTTACCCCTAATAAAAAATAGAGAGACTATTTACAAGAAACTCACAAAAGCATAGACAAAATAAGCATTGTAGTACGAACAATGTAACATCAAAATAAGTGTATTGTGACATAGATTTTGGTTCTTGTGATAATGCGATCTTATGAAAGAAGAGAAATTTATCTAAATAGGACTAAAACATAATGACTTTCCCAATATAGGACCATATGTTTTTATTTCTCAATGTAGGACTTTTAGTCATTATCAAGTAGTCATTATTCAAGTAAATGTCTAGCATTATTGGACATTATTCCTCCCACTAGGTCATTATTAAGTCCTATTTAGGGAATAAAAAAGTTTAAGTCCTACATTAGAAAAGTCATTATGTTTTAGTCCTATTTAGTGCAAATTTCACATGAAAGAAATAAGAATGAATCTAGTGCTTTAGATTGTGAGATCTAAGGGTCAGGATTGCATCAAAATTAGGTGCACGAAAATGGTTTGAAAATGCATCATGTCGAAATGCACCAAAATCCTTTGAAAATGCACTATTTCAAAATCTGAGTGCAGGATGCAATCTGAGCCACACGATGCATCAGATCTAAAGGCTAGATTTTATTCTTATTTCTTTTACCAAGGTGCATTCTCACCTGAACCGGCCCTTGACACAATTCTATATGTAGATAGTTTAATTATAACTTAAATGAATTATATAGTGTCAAATGTATATAAACCATACGAAGTTCCATATTGCTTTTGTTTCATACTACTTGACATTTGACTATGATGAGAAGCATTGCCAACTCGCATATTCTCTCTCTCCCTCTCTCTCTCTCTCTCTCTCTCTCTCTATATATATATATATATATATATATATATATATACATACATACATACATATATATACATACATACATACATACATATACATATACATATACATATATATATATATATTGTGATTGACGATCATCGACTTATTGCTACAATGAATTCAGATATTTATGAGTGTATGGGAGAAACATAAATTTATCATCGTGAAATCAAGAAAGTATTGCTCCAAAAGCATTAGACTCTCACGTAATCATCTGAGGCTGTTTCTTGCTTTGGTAATATCCCTCTTGTGACATTCATCAATTGACAGGCTGCACAAGTATATATGAGAGTGATGTTAAGATGCAGTTAATGCACAAGAAAGTCAATCCATCTGGGTGGTGAGATAGGATACGTTTGGCAACAATGCATAGTTTTGAACACCATTATAGATTAACTTTTAAAAACGCCAAAGCTTAAGACTATTGTTAGATTGCTTTTCTAAAAGGCTAAAGCCGAACGCTTAAGTTGATGCCAAACAAACTTATAGAGAACTTTCTATGATAATTACCGTAACCGATATGGTCTAGATTTTCTTCTCTACTTGATCTGCAATCACAGATTGCTCTTAAGCTTGCCCAGCACTTCTTCTCAGGTGAATGGTCACTTGATCGGCAATCACAAATTGGTCTTAAGCTAGCCCAACACTTCTTTTCAGGCAAATGGTCTTCTTGATATGGCATGAAGTTGCCTCGGAGCTCTTCAATCTGCATTTACTCAAGAAAAACAAAAGTGTTAAGTAATTATTCCACATCTTCATGATATAAATATATAAATCACCACATTTACCTCTTTGCGCAACTTTTGGTTTTCGATCTTAATCTTTTCTTCCTCCAGTTCAAAAAGAAAGAAACTAACAGTTTAGCATATTCCCATTCAAAGACATGTTTTTTTTAAATTTATTAAAATACAGCCTCTGAATAAGAAATCAAAAAATTTGTTTGAATTGTTCTATATAAGTCACCTGCAATCTTGAATTCTCAAGCTGCTTGAATAGGATTTTCTCCTGAAAAATAAAATAGATATAATCATAGTTTGTAACTTAATGAGAAACCATTATTAGTTTTATTCAACTTTAGGGTAAGGTGTAAAGACCTTCATATCCTTAACAGATAATATCCCCTCTGCCAGTTGATGCTCTAAATGCTGCAACTCTTTGAGGCCCAATCCACTGAGATCCTTTCCCATCATATGGCTTCACAGGATCAAGAAAAGTATTACAAAAACCAACTTCAGAACCCACGGAATTGAACATTAAATGTTCTTAAGTAACTTCATTTTTCATTTGCCAAAAAAATGTTCACCAAATAAGCACATCTATTAACAGTATCTTCTCTTTCCACCAAATTCGAAGGGCTATATAACAATGCACATGGAGCCTCACCGGTGCAGCTGATTTAGATTTGCAAGTTCGGATCTTAACGCATCTACTTCAGGCTGCAAATCACACTTGAATGACTAAAAAACTTCACTAATTAACACAATGTGACAAAGGATAATAACCAAACCAAACCAACACTCCCATTACCCACTCAAGAGTATGGTCTAGTGGCACAAGATGTACGCAGACCTTACCTCTACCCAAATAGTAGAGGCGATGCAGTGCATTCGTTCTCCAAGACATGTTTCTTATTGGAGTACAAAGTCTGAAGTCTGGAAAATAAGAACATGTACATCTTATTGGATGTATATTGCACGGAAAGAAGGTTGGATCGATTAAGATGTCAAGAGTTCGGAGTCAAGAGTATATAGCGTCCTAGTTTGGAGTCTAAAGAAAATAATCCCAGAAGAACAGAATCATAATGCACCACAAGATTTATTAGTCGAATTTAATTGCAATTAGTGTTTACCTCTGATCCGTTACCAACAACAGCAAACTCTGAAGCAAATGAAGTTTTGCTGTACTTTGCCAGAACATGTTCCATGCTTCATTAAACAAAGAGAGAGACTATTCATAATAATTGAATCCAATTGATAAACTAGTTTAGAACGTACACGCCAGTCTTTAATATTTGAATACCAGACATTTAACAAAAAACTTTTTTTAAAAGAAGAAGCATAATAGTGTTAGAATATTACAGGGCCGATCCTAATTTTTTAAAGGTCCAGTGCAAAAATTAAAATTAGGTCTCTAAAGTTTGTAGTACACCAGTCACCTCTAAATTACATAAAGATTGTTTAGCCCACTTACATTAGTTTTCTATTATGCTATTATCATAGCACTCTAATATTTTAATATTTGGAATTGCGACCCTATCTTTTGCAATCAATCAGATATAATTCAAAGAAAAAAATGATAATTTAAAGTACAGAAACATATACACATTTTTTTGCATAGAGCCAACAATATTGAAGCTAGTGAATGTGGACCAGTCGCCGAATTTTCTGTGTAGCAATGACTATGTATAACTTGTAATCTCATTTTACAATAAGATATTATCAAATAAAGAAATAATCCCAAATAGGAGCACAACGTAGTCCTTATTCCCAAAATATCCCAGAGTGACATGTTTTAATCTCAAAATTTATTTATTGCAATGTGACAATGTGAAACTGTACAAGTGTAAATTGGCATTCATTAGTGTACAAGTGTAAATTGACAACGTAGTCCTTATTCCCAATTTTTTTTTTTTTGGGATTTTATGTTTGGCATTATAGATTTATAGGCCATATTTTGGGACAAAAGCATGAAGATCTTATTTTGGTTATTTTCCTTATGTTTTCCTCACATTTTGATCTTTCTACCGATCAAATATAATAGAAATCACCCCTAATAGGACTAAAACATTGTGCTTATCCCTAAAATAGGAGTTCATGTTTTTTATCCCCCAAATAGGACCTCTCCCGCCACATTCTTTCTTTCTCTCCCGATTTTGCCCTCTTTTTCCTTTCCGTGTCACAATTCACAATCTGCCCCGTCTACATTACAACTCTTTGTAATACACATTACCACATTACATACTGTGACACTTTACATTACAATGGTTCGTAATATTAATCACCACATTACAAATTATGACACTGGTAATATCCACATTACATTTTTTTTTTGAATGCTATTGACTCTATTACAAGGTAGTATCTGTTCATACTATTCTCAAGCTAATGACTAATGACGCACAAAGAGCCAATGCTGCTGCCTTCGCTGGGGCTCGAACCTGGGTGAACTTCCCCATGAATCCAGGGGAGTGGGCTTGCTACCACTCAAGCCAGGGGAGAAGTTCATATCCACATTACATATTTTGTTGGACTATCATGAATTTTTTTAATTGCATATTAACCATTGCATATTTTTATTTTTTTGTTATGCATTTAAAGTCAACATGTCCATATGAGTTTAAAGGACAAAACATGGACATGTTGTGAATTCTAATTGGATCAATTTATTTGCGTTCATGCGGTGGCTGCTGTTAGGAGACATCCCGGCTTATCTTGTTATGATTTTATTTCTCCTTTCTACAAAATTGAGACGTTAGTATTTATGTACATATGCTGGTATAGTCCACCCAAACACATAGAAATCCTATTCCATGAGTGGAAGATCCAAACACTATTTGATATCACTTTATGTTGCATTACATGACTTTTTTTAGTATGATTTAGTTGTGTTAAAATTGCTTGTACTAAGATGTAATGTACTTTTTAAAATGTCCTTCCTTGTTGACACTTTTATTTCATAATTTCGTTTCATTTAAATAACCTTTGTCATTCAACGTTGTGTACAGTGCCACAAATTGGCATATACATGACCAACTTTAGGGACTCTTATAAATTGTTGTACGTGTAAATGAGAAAACTAAAATTTCATATTGTAAATGGCCACCTTATGTCAACAATAATGCAACACTTAACTTTAATAGTAATATACTTATTTTATGTTTGGTAAATAAAGGTTTGCGGCAAGATGAGAGGGAGGGTAGGGTATTTTGGGGATGGCCATGCAAACTAAGTCCTATTTGGGGAATTTATGTTTTGGACTCCTATTTAGGTATATTTGATATGTTTTAGTCCTATTTAGGTTTTTTTCCCCAAATATAACTGTACGATTTTAAGATTAGGGTTACAAATGGAGTGATAAATTACAGGTGATTAAGAAGAGAGAGAGACCTGGAACTGGAAAATTGAAAGAGGCGGCCGGTGGTGGAGAAGATGATAACAGCAACCTGAGCATCGCAGAGAATGGAGAGCTCCTTAGCCTTCTTCAGGAGGCCCGCCTTCCGCTTGGAGAAGGTCACCTGTCTGTTGCTTACCTTCTCTATCTTCTTCATCTCTGTCTTCCCTCTCCCCATCTTTCTCTCCCTCTTTTTCTCACCTTTTTTTTACCCAATCTTCTCCCAACTTTTATACTCTATTAAAATTGTCCACCTACTATGTTTAGATCATTTTCCATTCTCAAAGGATTAAACTCATCCCAAGGTCTTCTAAGACCCAATTAAACTGTCATTGAGAGGACGTAAATTATACTTTATTAGTTTTGATCGATCTGGTTTGATTATTTTCCCAATGTGATTTAAATTTTTCCCTTTTGAAAAAGATTAGTAGAAAGGAACAAATAAAATATTTTGAGTTATTCAAAAATTACCTTAGAGGACATATTCATTATTGGCAACTAATTTCAACCATCTTTAGACCATTAGAGCATTTAGAATGGGACGGACTCTTGCCCGCCCCATTGTCTGTCACATCACTAACTTTTAATCTCGTTCTAAAAACTTGCAATGTTATCGTTCTTTCGTTCTGCCTCTCCGTTACTTTTATTAAAATTGGTAACAAAGACACTCTTTATTTAAAAAATTCCGAAAAAATACATTAAATTAGCATATCCACGAAGATAAAATCATATGGAGTTTTTCCAAATAAAATAGAAAGAAAGTAATGAAGGTTACCTTTTCCCTCTTTGATTTCCCATTTTAGTGAGCCATACTATAAATGATATTGGTTTGCTACATCAAGCTTTATTTGTTGTTTTTTAGAGCACCAACAGTGGCGTGTCATTTTATAGCCATGTCTTGCCACATTGGATTTCACACGCGTGGATTAGGAGTCACTCCCCCTTTTCGTGGCATGTGCGAGGCAAAGTTGCTTCATTTCTTTTTTGTTTTTCATTTGGTTTTGAACAAAGAAGAAACACTCAATATTTTTATAGGCATACTTTATTGCGGAGTATAAAGTATAAATAAGGAAAAAAATCTTTTTTTAAGCAAAAAATCTATTATTTTTTTAGTATGTAAAACTATTTTATGATAAAATAAATAAGTAAAACATTTTTTGTAATCAAAATATGTCAAGAAAATTCAGAAACAAAAATAAAAATTATGACTTGTCACTGCAAGGCATGCCACTCCACAGCCTCCACTCACTTGCCACACGTTGACTGAACTGTTTTTCATTGGTTGAAATGTTCCACGTCAGCGTGTGTCAGTCCATTTTTGTCTCACCATTGCTCGTGCTCTCTCTTTCCCTAGCTATTAAACTCCTCTCACATTTTATCTAGAAAATAAAAAACAACAAAAACACATAGTTCTTTCTTACGAAAAAAGAAATATTTTTAGAATAAAAAAAATAAAGATCATAAAAATTAAAAAAATAAAAAACGGAAAGATGATCAAGTGTCCTTATTACTTTTCAACAGAATATTTCTTAAATGACTTTTAGCACACTTATTATATGGTTGGATTTTCAGTTCGGAAATTTCACAGCAATTCATACTCGTTCTTGATATCTTCGAGTTTTATCCGATTGAATTTTGGAGTGAACAACCAAAATATTCAATCTGAAAGTGTTATACACAACTCTCGATTCATCCAAGTTTTCGTTAATTTTCCCAACAACATTTACTCGTAATACTTTACCACGAATGAAAGTAGAGAAACTGGTTGCACAAAGGGTAATATATTATTCTATCCGTCCCACAAAACATTTTTCATTTGACTTTTAAAATATTTAAAGGGAGTGTATTTTGGTATTGACTTTCCAAAAATGTCATTGGATGTGATGTGTAAAACTAGATCTGATGAGTAGATTAATAGTTAAAATTTTACCATTCTGACGCACTCCCTCTCTCGATACGGTTTGTTACGTTACTAGTCACGTATTATTTGGTATTGTGTAAATATTGTTGGGCACTATATTGGTATGGTTTCGTATTATACCCCATTCGTCTTATAATTAACTTCTCATTTGACTTTTTAACATTTTCAATGCGACACTTTAATCATTAATATCTCTATTTTTATATGAATATATTTTATAAAATATTATAAGGGGTAAATTTCACCAGTGGTACCTGAACTTTAACTGGAATTTTGAAGTGGTACCTAATAAATTTCAAATCCTTTCACAAAAATCCCTGAACTTACACAATCATTTCACTAAAAGTCCATTTGCCCGTTTCCGAGTTAACTTCCGTCATTTGGGCCAAATTAGAATTTTATATATTTTAAAATTTTCTATTTGACCTCATTTCTTTTTTTCTTTTCTTCCGCTCCCCGCCGCCGTCGCACCACGACAAAGTCGCCAGAAAATCAACCTGGTCAGATTCCGGCGAAACCAACGCTGTTCTCTTCGTCTTGAGATGAGGATCAAGAATATCCAAATCATTTTGTCCAATTTGGCCTGCAACTCCTCAAATTTGAATTTTTCCACTCGAAAAACCCCTAAAATCCAAAATTTGAGGGTTTTGCAAATCGCCATCAAATCTTGCAATTGAG